CAGAGTAATTGTTAAAACCTAAGTAGGATATTGTCATTTCCACCTTGACTCAAAATCCTGTAATAGTTTGTCATCTCACTCCAAATAATGCTTTAGAAGGCCCTACGTGAACTGGCAACCCTGACCTCACATCTCATATCTCAAGCAATTAATTTTGCTGTTTTTCTTCTTTCTGGGAAGTTCTTGCACCATATATTCACTTAGCTCACGACCTTCCTTACTGCACACATCTTTGAGCAAATGTCATCTTCTCAGGCATTATCTGCTGAATGAATGAATGAATGAACCAATGCTGTCAATAGAGTTAACATCCTGACTCAGGCTTCTAATCCCTCAGATGAAAGCAGAGGCCAGGAACAAGAATCCAGACTCAAAGGAGATGGTATAGACATCAAGCCATTAGCTGACAACAGGGGCTGTACCCACAGTCATAGTAATATTTTTGTCACATAAGGAAATAGAAAACCAAATGTCCAACCACACAACTGCTTGGTAAGGATAAAATTAGAACAAACAGACTTAAATTATCTGATATAATACCAAAAATTAAGCATCCCAGTTACACTGTAGAATTGCTGCTCAAAATGTGACCTCAAATTGGTATCAGTCTGCACACTGTTTCTGGTCCCTGAGAAAACAAGAACAGAAATTAAGAGTAAGCATTTAGAAACTTTACAGCAATTGACTTTGTTGGGATATGTCAGTGAACAGGTCTCCTTGACCAGTTTGGGTCCCATGTGGTAGGAGCTGCATAGTAATCATGTGCAGAATGACTATTAGTGACTTAAAAAAAAAAAAAAAAAAGTTGGTTCTTCACCACAGATAGTTTGAGGAGCACTACTATAAAGTGTATCTTTTCAGGGGCCAAAATATAGCCATCTACCTACTTACTTACCACATATACCAGATAATATTTCTTCCTTTACCTATCTAAAAAAATTTTTAATTCAAATGTCTGCTCAATTTTCTTTTCACAACGTATACATGTAACAGATTACAATTTGAAGATATTACGGTTTTCTGTTTCTTAACTGACAACACTGATAGATTTACTTCTTCTTGGTTGACTACTTTATAGTATATTCCTGTCTTTGGTATATAAAATCTACTAGACATTTTCACAGAGCTTCCTGACATCAAAATTTCCATTATAACATTATAATCTCTTTTCCTAAACCCCCTCAGTCCTCTCAATGTCCCCACGATAATTCTAACCACAGTACCCTGCAATAACTTAATTATTTGTCTTCTCTATTGGACTATAATATTTATAAGGGCAGGTACCATGTCTGAATTGATTTATTCCAATATCAAGAATAGTTCCTGGCTCATAAGCTATTCAATAAACACTTATTGAGGAAATGAATGAATAAATGAATGTATCTTATATAGGCAAGTGAACTACAGATGACAGAAAATGTGGAGGCCATCAACTGACAAAAGGGAGAACATGTTTCTTTAACAAGAGGACACAAGACAATGCTATTACTCTCAGTGTCATGCAGGTAAAAGAGCTTTGTTCCAGAAACTCACAATGCCCATGATTAGACAAAACTAGCGCAAGAGAAGTAGACTTTTCCCAGGGAATGCAAAAATGTAAACAAAAATATTAAATCCACTTATGATAACAAGCACAACAAAAAGTTTTCTTTGAATTAGTATTCCCCTAACATATTCCTGAACATTTATCAGACACCAACTAAAGCAATGAACATTGCAGGATGGGGAGAAGGGGCAGGGTTTTGCAGGCAAAATACGTTCCCCCTTCATTGTCCCTGAAGCAGAACTGATTCCTAAGCTAAAGGATTCTAGTTGTCTTTTGTTTTTTCTAGCTTTATAAAAAGAAAAAGTTTTACACTGCTGCAAATCAAAAGTCTAACTGGTTGTTGACAAGTGGTACAGATTACTTAATATGTGACATTAATGTTTGATAATTCTGATTTCTTAACAGTTACAAGGTTTTTCCTGTTCTAGGAGGCTGGGCGTCCCAGACCTCCTCCTCCCATTCTCATTCTGACACACTATGCCCACTGAGGAATTGGAAATGCTGAGATAGATGCACATACTGCATACTGTGGGGGATAAAAGTAATAAAGGGTCAAAAAACACACTCTAAGGGAGTCTTATGGGACTTAGCTAAACCTTGAAAGATCAGTAGCCCTTTGATAGGCAGACAGGGCTAGGAGAAGGGTCACTTTCATTTACCAATGCAACATTTAGATACTCTGTACTAAGTATCTTTTGCATGTTCTTTCTGGGCCCATGGCAAACAACACTGGAAATGTACATCCTGTGTCTGTGTGTCACTGCCCACAAGATTAGAAACTCTATTGCCAGCACAGACAACATCTCTAAGATTCAGTATCTAGCACACTTCCCTGCACATAGGAGACATTTGAAATTTAACCGAGAAGAAAATAAGCTTTATCATTTAAGATTTACAAATACTTTTGCAGTAGCTTTTAACAATTACGTCATTCAGGTCAATTGCATACAGTGTTTTCCAGGAGATTTTGCTCTTTCAAATTTTGTCAAAAACACACAAATATTGTCATTTTGAATTCAAGTATGATACCTAAATGTTCCCTTTTATTTAATCCTGATCTACATCACCTGTCTCTTGATACAAATGTTAAAGGTTTACCAATTTACCACTTTGTATTAAATTATGAATTTGCCTTGAAGAGGGTTTTTATAAAACTATTGCCTAAGTCCTGTACGGTGTAATTAAATAAGTCAAACTAACCCTTAGGGACCTCTTACTTTGAAATGAAATTTAAGAGCCAAAGAGTGCCTGTAACCTTTACTGAAGTCATGTCTAAAATGCTACTGTGAATTTAACAAACTAATCAGATCTCCACAGAAAAATCTGCTCATACTCACTGATATACTAGTGAATCGCACCATCGCCAAAAAGGATCAATGTGGAAATGATTTTAAAACAAAAGCAGGTTTTTTAAAAGATACTATGAACCTTAAAGCTGGAACTCTATCAGAGATTCAGGATAGCATCTCAGCAGATGAGGATATTACCTCCCCAGATCTGTCAACTGTCCCTCCAGAGGATAGGAAGTCACTCTGTCAAAGGTTAGCCTTAGGTGATCCAAATCATCAATCACATCACAGGGCTCCTTCTACCAGCCAGATCCCATATTAAGTGCTGGTAACACCAATGATAATCCAGACATAGTCCCTACCTACAAGGAGCTCCATAGTATTCATTTTATGCCAGATGTGTAAGTTATCCCCTTAAAAACTACACACACACACACACACACACACACACACACACACACACATATGTATATATATTAAGCAGGAAAATTATTCAGCTTACTTTAAGCTGTGTGTCTCAAGATTATCTCACACCGTATTTAAGAACAGCCACAGGGATGGGACACTGGATCAGAATTAAAGACTAGAATTTTGCTTTTCCTTATGCCACTGATATGCTGAGTGATCTGGATAAAAATCACTTCGATTCCTGAATTTTAACTCTTCCTATTCAAATAGAAAAAGCAATTCCTTCCACCCTGAAGGCTACTATCTGAATAGCATGTGAAGCACCAAAAGTCTGACACAGGAGGTAGATGTATCACTGTTACTGGCATCATGGCCTGAAAAAAAAAAAAAGATTTATAATAGTATGTATATAAAAATATATAATAAAATCAAAAGATAGCACTGTTAATGAAGGAATTAATGAAGTAGCCACTTAAAGCTTACGCTTTGAAATGCCAAAAACCATTTGCGGTCAGTATTTAAGAAGGTGACCTACGGAGGAAGTGGCATGATAACGATGGTGCAGACCCTCTGTTCTGTGCTCTCCTGTTGTAACTCCACATTCCCCACCTTCCATCCACCGCACATCACTGCCAGAGTAATCTTTAACAAGCACTCATTTCCTTACATTTCTCTCTTACTCAAAACCTTAGCCATTCCTCTTTTTAGGAAATCATACCTAAATTCCAACTGTATGATTCTCTGAACCATCCACAATTGTATATATTATTTTCTACCATTTCTTGCTAGACAATATAGCTTCTTGCTGCTACATAAAAACATCAGGCCCTATCCCACATCATACTGTTCAGGTTGATCAAGTTATTTTCCACATTTCAAAACACCTCAGTGAATATAAAAATCCAAAATAGTCTTCAAAGGCCCACTCAGGTGCTTCCTCCTCTATAAGGCCTTCCCTATTTTTCATCTTCACTAACTTTCCTTTAAAATCCCAAAATACTAATACATTAAAGTGTTTATCACAAGTTCCCAACTAGTTTTTACAAACTGTATCAGGACTATATTCCTTACTAGCTAGGTGTACACTGAAATGGTAAACACTTAGAAGAAATATGTTTATATTCATGAGAACAAACAGGCTGACTGGTAGAGTGGCACCCAAAAGATGTCTATGACCCTAATCCCTGGAACTTATGTGTTACAAGGCAAAAGAGACCTTGCAAATGTGATAGGGAGACTACTTGGATTATCTGGGTGGGCCCAATCTTAACACATAAGCTCTTAAAGCAGAGGGATGCAGCAGAAGGGAAGTAAAAAATTCCCTAGAATGGGAATTCAAGCTGCTGTTGCTGAAGAGCATCACACGGAAAATATGAGAAATGGGGGCAGCCTCCCGGGGCAAAGAGCAGCCCCTAGCCAAGAACAAGCAAGAAATGGAGGCTTCTATCCTACAACCACAACAAACAAAATGCAGACTATCTGAATGAGCTTGGAAGGAGATTAGTCTTCAGAACTTCCAAAAAGGAACACAGATAGTCCTGCTGGCACCTTGATTTTAGCCTTGTGAGAGACTAAGCAGAGGAACTATTTAAGCCATTGAAACTGCCCTTTACAAATCAACAGGGGGTAACAAGATGAGAACCATGGTAAGGGTCTAAAACTCAGCAAAGATACAGGCTTAGGTAAAAATAATAATAATCAGCCACTGCCCCTCCCCCGTCCCCCCCCTCCCGTTTGCTTCTCTATAATTGCTACTCTGGAGTCACATAGTTGATGGTCATCAAGATTCTTAATGTTCTCTGTAGATAACATCACCTTTTCAAAACCTAAAGGTTTAGAAATTAAAGGTAGTTTCTATGGTATCTCCCAGGCCCAACATTCCAGTGGATTGGCTGATCCACCCAGACCAGGGGACCATACCAACAAACTCTCTCAACTGGAATTGTGACCCCCAACCCAGGAACTGACTCAACACAAGAAGATAATTTCTACACACCTGTAATTTGGCCTTAAACCTAAATAATTAACAAACAAGTGCCTAATCCCTGGCCTGCCAAACTACCTTTAAAAACCCTGTCTTCCAAATTCCTGGGGATGCGGATTTGAGATACTTCCCCCACCCCGTCGTCTCCCTGCTTAGTGCTCTGCAGAAGTAAACCCTTTCTCCACTGTAACTGTGGCAGCCTCAGTTTATTGGCTCTTTTTCATGTAGCAGGCAATATAACCCAGTTGGGCGGCAACACTGTGTCTTACCTGTACTTGTGACATACAGAATGGTGAAACAACAAATGAGTGCTGTTTTAAGCTGATAAATTTGTGCTAATTATGGCAGTAATCGGAAACTAATACACTAATAAATATTGTTGTGCAAGGTCAAACAAAAAGGCAGGAAGGAAGAAATGCATTTTCAGACATGCTATCCAAACGTAAGTGGTTCTTTAGATGCTGGCAAATTTGTTACATAAAGGATCAACATACCCTCTTGAACAGGGAAAGAACAGGCTTAATATTGCAATTTTTCTTAGGAAAAACTTGGAGAGATTCACATACCCAAACTGAATTTTAAAGTAATGCAGGTCAAATACATTAGGAGTATAGCATATGATAAGACTATTTGCTTTGACTGCTTTTGATATAAAGAGATTTATATTAAAACTTCCCAACATTTGGGCAAAACATCCTCTTATGACTCAATGGGCTTTCTTTTACAGGGTTAGGGAAACAGTCTGCACCACAAAACACAGCAAAGTTAAACAGTTGCATACAGAGAGATCATACACATAGCCCTGTCATTACCACTATATTAAAGAGATAACCATCTAAGGGCTCAACACAGCAAACAGGTAACTGCACAAGAAGTTCTTAACTGACAAAATTGGATATAGACAAATCAATGGAACCAGATAGGATTTATCCAGAAGCTCTAGAGGAACACAGGGTGAAACTGTGGACTTGGGGTCAAAATCCTGATACTATATCACTTACAAAATCACCACGTCAACAGATAGGCTGAATATAACTGCAACCCCCATAAGACGGGCTCCAGAGACTCTGGTAATGTGATATCTGCAATTTTTACTTGCCTAACTAACATAATAGCAAAAACACAATTAAAGACAATAATTTTTAATCTAATTTAAATAATTTTAAATAACTTTTTCTAAATGCAAAATACATGCTCAATGAAAAAAGCCTTGGAATCAGGAAATCACACAAATGAAATCAACCATAATGTAAACATCCATACGTAATCACTACTATTAATATTCTGTTGAATAGTTTTCTGGTTTATATATATGATATTTGTATTCTAATATGTGTATTAACATCTTTTTTTATAAAAATATTTTCTTAAACTTTTAGCATTATGTAAAGTTAAACTTCATTTTATAATGTCTTATTTAATTAATAGTAACCTCTATTTGTGGAAATATAAGTAGATTCAAAATTTCTAATCTTTTATATATAGTTTTATACACATCTCTGGATGTAATAGAGGCAAAATAAAATTCCAACTTCACCATTCACTGGCTATGTGACACTGGACCAATTACTTAATCTTTTGTGCCTCAACTTCTTTATCTATAAAATGAATATAATAGTAGCACCTACCTTCACAGAATTATGAGTTAGATGAGCAGTTATATGTAAAATGCTTAAAATATACTCAAAACATAGCAAGCAGTATAAAAATGCTAGCTATTATTGTTATTTCTGACAGGAAATCCCCAAAAGTGTAATTATTGGGTGAAAGGGCTCACAATTTTATTTTTTAACTGATACATAATAATCATAAATATTTATGGGATACAGTGATGTTTTGATACATACAACATATAGTGATTGGATCGGGATAATTAGCACATCTATCCTCTCAAATATTTAAGTTGGGAACATTCAAAATCCTTCTAGCTATTTAAATTATATATTACTAACTATAGTCATCCTATAGTGCTACCTAACACTAGCTATAATTTCGTATCCTTTAACAAATCTCTCCCTATCCCCCCCCCTCCCTTCTTCTTCCCCTTCCCCACCTCTGGGGAACAGAGTATCCTCTCTTCTATTTACTTCTATGAGATCAACTTAATTTACAGCTTCTGCATATGAGAACACACAGTGTGTAACTTTCTGTTCTTGGCTTACCATAATGTCCTCCAGTTCCACCCACGTTGCCTTGAATGAATGATTCATTTTTTTATAGCTGAGTAGTATTCCATTGTGTATATATACCTCTTTTCTATATCCATTCATTTGTTCTTGGACACTTGAGTTGATTCCATATTTTAGATATAGTGAATAACGCTGCAGTAAACATGGGTGTACAGATACCTCTTTGATATATTTACTGATGTCATTTCTTTTGGATAAATGCCCAGTAGTGGGATCACTGCATTATATGACAGTTTTATATGCAGTTTTTGAGGAACCTCCATCCTGTTCTCCATGCTGATTTTAGTAAGTTACATTCCCACCAATGGTGTATAAGAGGTCCCTTTTCTTTGCATCCTCACCAGCATTTGTTATATTTTGCCTTTTTGATAATAGCCATTCTATCTGGGGTGAGATGATATCTCATTGTGGATCTGATTTGCATTTCCATAATTAGTGACATTGAGCATTTCTGCAGATATCTGTTGACTGTATGTCTTCTTTTGAGAACTGTCTGCTCAAATCATTTCACCTTTTATTATTTTTTCTAATGTTAAAATGTTTGAGTTCCTTGCATATTATGGATATTAATCCCTTGTTGGATTAATAGCTTGCAAATACTGTCTCCCATTCTGTAGGTTGTCTTTATATTCTGTTGATTAGTTCCTTTGCTGTGCAGAAGCTTTTTAGTTTGATATAATCCCATTTATTTTTGCTTTTGTTGTCTCTGCTTTTGAGGATTTATTCACAAAACCATTTCCCAGATAATCATCCTGAAGCAAAAGGTTCACACTTTGAGAATTTTTAATATATATGGCTAGTTTGATCTCAAGAAAGAGTAGTACAAAATAAGTTATTCACCCTTAAGGAATGTATTTTTCTGCCTCTTACCAACACTGGGTATGCTATATACGCTCATCCTATCTTGTAGGCAAACAAACCCAAAACTGTAAATATAAACATCTTACTAAAATACTTTGAAAAATAAATTGTTTGACAAGAACATGCCTAAAACTGTAACTTAATTTGGCTCCTTAAGTACCCTGTTAAGATTTGCTACCAAACAGAAATCACATAAACAAACAAACAAAATACCAAATGAAGAACCATTAGACTAAGAAAAAATATTTAGTCAATAAGAACTAGTTAAAGATAGAACAACAAGGAATTTCTTTTCTGGAAAGAACAATTCCAACTGTAGTGTCAGGCACTAGAATGGTCCTATCTAGTGGTGACCTAGAAGAAGAAATGCACATGGAATTCTCTAGATATGCTAGGAAAAGGAAGTGTTTGGTTTCAAGGCTAATAGATTATACAACATAGAAAACCTGAGAGCCTTATCAGAAGAATGGCAGTAGACAGCCTGCAGGTAACACATTTACGATAATAACTCAAGCTTACTCTAGAGATGACAGGCTTTGAACTGTGAGTCTTGAAAAGTGACACATGCTTGGCTCTCTAAGTTGTTGTGGGCTATTTCCTAATCAAACAAGCACAGTAAGTTACTGCAAAAGGAAAACGTGGTGAGTATCACCAGGAAGAGTGTTAGAAACACAAAACACTACTTCACTTCCTCTTCTATAGAATCAAGACGCATCTCTAATGCAATACAAAATTTACATGGGTACAACTCAAAAGGGAGCACACCAAACAAAAATAAGCCAAAATAAGAGGATATAAGAATTCCACTTACAGACTAAAAACATGAATGCTTTGCAAAATGAAAGAGTAAACTGGGCATAAGTTTTTACATAATGATGAACACATGTGAATTATGGGGCACTCCTATAAACCCTAAAGATATAGTTAACTATCAGAGCATGTGCTGCTATTCTTTGAGAAGGTTTAAGAAATAAGTTCCTTCTAGAAATGGTTTAGACTAAAACTGTAACTAGGCTCAATAAGGGTTTTTTATCCATGTATGAATGATACATATAATATAGGCTATAAAGAAAACTGAGGACCGTTTGCATATAACTGTAATCCCCTGAGATGACACAATAAAAGGCAAACACATTTCTCTTCCCCTCCCCCAAGAAAAAAAATAGTCGCTGGTTGTCAACATCAGAAACCTAACAGCAGCCAATCTGACCCAAAATGGTACTTCACAACTCCTTAAATTAGTGCTTTTTCATGCCTTCAAATTATGAGTAATGAAGTCCATTACAGTTAATGAATTCCTCAGAAAGAATGAGTTTTTCTTTGAATGATTTTTACATCAATTTCTTTTAAAGTAAAAAATGTCTACTACCGGATACATTTCAGATGGTTGTTACACAATAGAGTTCTTCACACTAGACTTTAGTGAACTTTCCCAAATTATCATTTATACAAACACATAACAATTCATCCAAAAGACTATTACACTCTAATTAACATATTCTTAGAACACTTCATGAAAATATTTTTAGTAATACACTAGAAAATGAACTCACAAAGAGGTCATGGAAGCTCTAAAAATACTTCATTTAGGAATTAAGAGAATACTTTCATAAAAGATTTGATGATTATTTCTTAAAATATAAAACAACCTTTTAAGTAAAATACTTAAAATTACTTATTATACTTTACATTATTAGCCTGTGGCAAATAAATTCTAATTATAAAAGCTAGTTTTTGGTTTAAAGAATATGAAAAGTATCACCCAGTAGGATGACATAGGTAGCTTCCACTGAGAAACTGAGGGGATTGGGGGAAGAGGGAGGATATGTAGGTGCATGTATGTATGAATGTAGTTTTACCTGAATGGCCTGACAATGCAGATGGAAAAACTTTAAGTTTTCTCTTTTAAGTTTCTTTAGCATTCATTATCTAGAAACACAGAAACACAGCTACCCAAGGACACCAGAAGGACCAAAGGCTACAAATAGCCACATGACCCCCTGCCTGCCTTGATGCCAGAGGCCTGGACTTGAGCACAGCTTGAATACACCAGAGCAGACAATCTCCAGTTACCCCTAACTCATTAATATGTCTTCATAATACTAAAAATCACTCCCTCAAGTGAGAATTGCTGCCATTTTCTATACATGCAATATACGAAGCATGTACATGGGCTGCATCTGTGCATCTGAAACTCTATCCTGTACATGTTTAAATGCCTCCTCTATCCCCTATCTACGTCTTTAAAACTCCCACATCTTCTTTTGCTAGGGGAGAAGGTGTCCTTAGAGCACAAGCTTACCCTTCTCCATTCTTTGACCAAAGAAGAAAAATCCCATCATGTGAGCACCTTAGTCTTAATCAAAAGATACACTTATTAAATTGGAATCTGCTAGTAATTCCCTTTTAATTTCAAGTACAAAAAAAAAGAATAAAAATCCTGACTGCCTTATCAATTGGATGTTCTTTCCTTGTGGCTGATATAAAGCAGGGAAAGAACACATTTTTTTCAGTAACAATAGGATATATGTATATTACAAATGTATAGCATACTATATATGTACAGGTGTGTAAATGTTTGTATGTATCTTACATGTGTATATAAAACACATATATTGTATACATACATACAAATGTCTTATTTTTTTGAGACAGGGTCTCACTCTGCCATATAAGCTGGGGTGCAGTAGCACCATCATAACTCACTGGAGCCTCAAACTCCTGGCTCATGCAAATCTCCTACTTCAGTCTCTCGAGAAGCTGGGACTTATGCCACCATGCTTACCTAATATTTTTTATTTCTTGTAGACACCTAATTTTTTTTATTTCTTGTAGACACCTAATTTTTTTATTTCTTATAGACACAGAGTTTCACTGTGTTGCCCAGGCTGGTCTCCAACTCCTGTGTTCAAGCTATCCTACCACCTCAGCCTCCCAAAGTTCTGGGATTATAGGTATGAGCCACCATACCCAGTCTAAATGTCTATTTTTAAAGTGTAACAAAAAAACAACAACAAAAA